AGGAGTGTCTACCAATGAATCCCAAGCTACTTTGACTATTATCATTTCATCATCATTTGACACATATACCATTGAAATTTTTGTTTCTCTACCACCATTCCATACTTCTATTTCTACTACCTTACCTCAATCCACACAATCACCGACTTGTGAAAACATCCTTAATCAACCCATCACTTCTTTATTCTCATCTTAATCCACCGAAGGTCCCAAAAATGTTCAGGAAGATGACACCACTAAAGATGGTGAATATATGGGTTCTTTTGCTGATATTGAATTTGATCCAGAAGAGCAGAACATTCCCGATCACATGTTGATGTATGGGAAACAATTCAAAATTCTCAACAAGAATCTTAATTCATTATTGCAGCTTCAAGCTGATGCAGAGGGTCGCAATTATGTGTATGGAATTGAAATTGAAGTGATGCTCAAGGCTCAAGAGCTTCTCTTAAGAAATGAACTGGATCTGATGGACAGGAAAATTGAGAATCATGTCAAGGCTCAGTCTTTGACCTTCAATGGTGCACTTAAGGAGTTGCAAGTTGTTGCAAAAGAAAGGCACATCTTGTTTGTTCAAGATTTTAAAAAGGTTTGTGAGGATGTTAATTAAAAGATTGAGGAACTAAGGGTCGATATAGACAAGGAAGTGGTAGCTATTATCAACGATTACTGTTATCTTCACACCAAAGTTAATATCATTGCAGATGTCTTACCAAGGTGGTCAAGGGATATCATTTGTTACTCCCAAAAGTTGATAAGAAAGATGAACTTGATGGTCAAAGTTTTACGAAAATTGATGCGACGTTGAACATTCTTAGGGAGTTAATTTCGAAGATTGGTTCTTCATATTCATCGTTGCATACTCCAGAATCTTTGTCTCAGAAATTTCAATCTTTGGAGTCCAAAATAAAGGCTGAGTTAGCTCCTCTTGCGAAGCTCATTAATTTGATGCCAACAGATGCCCTATCTATTAACATTGGGGTGCAAGGGGGGAGAAGGAGTTAGTGTTGGAATGAGCATGGGTTCGAAGGCCAACATGGGAGGTAGTGGTGTTTCGAAAGGAGATGAAGATGTGAAAGTTGTTGGGAAAGTCATTTCTACTCAAATTCTAACTTTGCTACCAACGACTTCGTCTACATTTACTTCTACAACAACAACAAATATCATATCGAAAGGATTTGTTATTGGTTCTAGTGTTGTAGGTTTAATTTTGTTGAAACCACCTCCCTCAACATAAGAAATGAAAAATAAAAGAAAAGGTATCTCTACATAACCCTCTACCGAAGAAAAGAAAGACGCAATTGAAATGGAAATGGAGAGGAAAAGGAAAATTCAAAGTATACTTCGTAAAAGGGCCAATACCTCTCCTGGTATTAACAAGGGAGATCCTTCGAAGCACTATTGTTATGAGAATATCGAAGCTTTGGTGGTTACTGGAGAAATGCATGATATAGAAAAGGTTCCAAAGAAGAGTTTTGCCATAGGAAATACTGATTTCAACTAGTTGGACTTTCTTATTAACAAGATGATGTTCTTGACTTCTCAGTATCAAATTACTGATAAATTTGATAGAGAAAAATTCAAAAGAATGGAGTTTTGATTTCACGCTGTTCTGGTAAAGAAGGAAGATGAGATTTCGTCATTGGCCAAGACAATTCGAGTTCTTAACATTTCAAAGGATGTTTTGTTTGAAGGAGTGTTTCAGAATTATCAATTTCATGTTGTTAGAACAAATAACATCACTTTTGACTTTCTGTGGTTGACTTCCCTCTAATGAATCTTCATGACTTAATATGTGTTGCCAAAATTTTGAAGGGAACTGATCTATCAAAGTTTTAGTTAACCAGCGAAGAAGATTTCTTGATCGGATTTGCTCACATCAGGTTATTCATAGAAAACTATTATGAATAACTTACTTTAACTGATATCAAATTAGCTTTGGTTGTTGGCAAACAAATCATAGTGCCTCAATCTTTATTAAAGAGTCAAGCTGATTTGAAATCTTATGTTGATGGTGAAATTTATTTGAAACCCCTAGGAGTAGTATTTGTTGGGAAGAACAAGAAAGGAAAGAATACTAAGTTCTTGTTTCAAGCCTGTAATGTGGAAAGATATACAACTTCACACTATATGAATTTAATTGTTCGTATTAATAGTTGTAAGATTAACAATGATGGTGACAAGGTAGAAGTTAAGAAGATAGTCAATTGGTATTCAGAGATACGAAGGATGATTTATCAAGCTGCTCAGATGCTGATGACTTATATTCGACACTTCTCAGAAAGGGGGAGAATGTTGAGTTTCGAAGTCTGTTTGAGTCATTGTATTTTTCAAAGTTTGTTTGTATGTTGTTTATAATAAGGGTATTTTGTATCGAAGCTTAAGTGTCTTAGTACATTATATTTTTGTATGCTTTTCTTAATCCTATATATATTGGATGAATACTAGAGTTATAGAGTAGCTTTTAGCATTCGACTTGTACTCTCTGAACTTTCTCTGTATTTTCAATAAAGTGTAATCGAGCCAAACAGATTATAGTTAGATCTTGTGTTCTTAATTCTTTTCAAATTTTGATCTCGTATTACATACTCGATTAAATCACTACTATAAGTTGTAACACCCATATTTCCTACTGGTTACACTTACTTTTATTAAGAGCCAAAGATGAAATTTTGAAGGGAACTTTATGCCACAGCGTGGTGCAAGGATGCCCACGGCGTGGCAATGGATTTGTGGACAGCATTTTATTTGGGCCACAAGATCATGGACAAGTATTGCCACAACTTGGTAGCTATTCTGGCCCAAGCCCATGATTCTTTAAGGGCTATCATTATATTTAAACCTCTCTAAGCTATTCCTAAGGTTCATTACCAACCCTCAACACCCTTATACCTCATAGAAACCCTAGCTATCTTTCCGTTGATGATTTGTGACTTATTTTTAGCATTGTTGGCTTAGAGAAGAAGGTGTTCCATTGGTGTATCTTGAAAGGAACCAACATCATCAGCATCTCTCATAGCTTATAGGCCTTTGTAAGAGCAAAGGCTCTAACTTTATGGTTTATTGTGGTTTGATCTAGAGTATTGTCCCATGTTCTTCATGTTTCGGCAAGTTTGGAATGATGGAACTCATAAAGTTTGCAACTTTATAACTCTCTTGAGCCCAATGAGTATCATATGTTATGGATCTAGACTTTGGTTTGAATTATTATCTTTTGCTTGAGTTTTGGTCATTTTTAGCTCATTTTTACCTAAAATGGATAGACATGTTTTGGATATGCATATCTACAAAGATTCACCATTCTAATAGATCTAGTGTTTTAAACCCTTTCTGGAGTGGTTGGGTTTAGGACTTTTTCAGATTAAAGGCTTAATGGTTGAGACATTATGGATTTTGTCTTTATTTAGACCCAAGGGTTGGGATCTTGATTATGTCAAGTGTGTTAATGGATAAAGTTGGAACTTTGATAATTTAGACCATAGAATGGACCAAATATGAGCTTTGGAGCTTTTAAGATTGAAGAAAACCACATAATCCATTAAGCTATTGGAATCTTAGCTCCCACGGTGGGGACATAGGTCGCCATGACACGACGATTGGGAATTTCCTATCGGTTTGGTCATTCAAGGTCCACAACATTGCAGTTGACTAAATTCAACATTGTCCATTGAATTTAACTGTTGAATTTTGGTATGGGTTGACTTTTTGATAAATTTATATTCTTAGAAGGTATAGTTAGGGTATACCTTGTGTGGATTGTTAGGAGGTGTCTAACACCCATCTTTTGGTAGTCCCAGTTGTTAGCTATGGTTAGCACGATATTGTGTTGGGTTTTAGTCCGCTTTTGTGATTCAGGTGAGTCTACTCACTGTATTTGGGGGTCGAATGCACTAATGTCTCCCCATTGGATTATTTTATTTAAAAAGACTAGGGTTGCCCCTAGCAATTGTATGAAAGACCTTGATGTGGCTCTTGGAAATTTATATCCACGACAAGGGTCTGGACCTTGGCAGTTATATGTTGAATGCTAGTTGTCTTTGTGATACTTGTATGGAATAGTAGAAGATGGTTCTTAGCAAGGAATGACCATGATACGAATCATGGCATAATAGCAATTATAAGACTGTGGTTGGCACATAACAATCTTTATTGTATGTATGGTATGTGCTATTTTGAGAAACTCACTAAACTACGTGCTTATGGTTATGTGTTTATGGTTTTAGGAACTTCCGATTGCAAGATAAAGGGTCTGATGTGACTACACAACATCCCCTAATGTTTTCCACATTGATTATTTATGACTTTTACTCTGATGTTTAAATGATATACTCACTTTGGTTAATGTTGGAACAAATTGTTTGTATTTTTTATGGTTGAAAAAATGAAAATTTTACTATGAGTTTTTAGGACGTTACAGTATGGTGGAGTCTCACTCTCTCCATAAGGTCTCTTTCGAAGTGATAATCATGGGTTCCACATATATTTATATTTGAGTTAATGCTTCATATAGTAATGAATATAAACATGGATTGAATCCTAATAAACTAGTGTTTTCAATGGTGCTTATAGATACGTTGAAAGTTATGCCATTTATACCTAGGTCACTTGCAGATATGTCGATCGGTCTTACAGACTATATTGTATAAAAGAAGAAACACATTGTATTATATTATATAGAACATAGAGTGGTGACAAGTTGCATTTATACATGAATGGACATGATGTATCATGCAATCTCATGGGACCTAGTTTATAACCGTGCTTTATTAGATTTTCATGAAGGATTAGGATTCATAACCTATTACAAAACCGGTTCACATAAACCATTTATGGTTACTTATTTTTCTAATGTGGATATGTTAATACTTGATAATATTTTATGTTATGTAGTGTTGCATAAATTATTCCGAACCACAAGAAACTACATTTGTTTATGTATAAACATGTCACACAAAATTAGAAATATGCACAAAATGAGAAAGGTCGGAATAAATATTTACCTCTGGTTTTGCGTGAAAACACCATATCTCCAATGTTGCTAAACCAACTTTCATATATTCACCATTGCTAAAGGTGCAACACTCAGGGCGTGAAAGAAGACTGCAAAAATGAAGCCAATTTCAAAAAAATATTGTTTGTAGGAAAGAAAGCAGAAGTTAGGGGTAAACGTAAAAGTTAATTCAGTAACCAAAAAGGCAAAAACCTATTGAAGAGTTGAACATTGATATATGTGAAAACTTGAGCAAATATCTTTTGAACAATTATGCCATGCACCTGAAATGCAACTTTATCAGAAAATAGGACAACAATTATCTTATAAACAATCAGAATATAATTTAATGCAACATTACACGTTTAGGAATTGTTTGAATATTTATGCAATAAGGTTTCGTATTATATTTATGCAACGCAATGGACCTTTTAATTACCGACTTATACAATAATATTTTAACTTGCTACCAATTTATGCATGTAATTAAAGTGTTACGAGGTTATGTATGCATAAATTAGTGACGTTTTATCATGAGATTTAAACATAGTTGTATAAATCATGTCAATGACCGACATAAATTAGTAACATAATGAATCTCGTTGTATAAATATACATTTAAAATTTTTGTATAATTTGATTGACAATTGGAAACATTGTATCCAGGTTCATTGCTTAATAGATATTTATTTTTTTGAAGAAGGTACTGCCAAAATTATAAGTATTCTAACATTTATGAGAGAAATATGAGGGTATAAATAATGCACATACAAAGTTTTCTTTCATTTTGATAAGCAGAGTGTTGAGACGATCAACAATATATTGCCAGTGATTGAATGTAGAATCATTGCCAATTAACAACTCTCTAGATGTTATTGGACCCTGAATTTTCAAAATTATAGTATAGATCACATCAGACATAATATGAAAAGTGAATGAAGAATACTAATATAATTTTCAAGCCTTGAAGTATAATTACCTGAGTACATAAGGTAGGTAATGATCCTAACTCATTCTTCAAGTTGTCACGGATAATGCAATACAATATCTCCACATATATTGTTAGTTGTTGCACGAAAACCAAAGCACGACTTCTGGCTTCAACTCGCAGCAAGTGTTGCTCAACGAAAGCATTATGCCTAGAGGTAACGTCAACCCGAGTAACAGCCTCAGCCGCCGATCCAATTGCATCAACAGCATCAACCACAACCTCAGTCATACC